TTCTCTCTTTAGCATGGTCTGGCACATTTTCTTGCTACCCAAAATGGTTTCAATCCTCCAAATTTCAGCTGCCAAGAGCTGATGGCTTTCCCAGTTGCCCAATGCCATTTCCTAAGCCTTCAATGAAGACACTCCATCTTGTAGGATGGCAGGATACCAACACTGTTCTCTCAGATTCCACAGAAGTATTCGGCACACATTCTCTGAATGTTCGCCCATAAATCCTCATGTCAGCACTATTTTTAAACATCTTACAGTATCCATTTTATTATGACTTTGCCACCTCAGATGGTCATAAACAGTCCTGAATAAAGATGCTGCAATATCTCTGTGTAAGAATCAATTAGCCAGTATATGCTGTGTAAGATGAGGGACCATCTTCCGATAGTACAGAGACATACTCTGCCATATTACAACAATGTGGCATTGTAATAGCCTAGTTTACAAAGTCCCTAGTGACAATTCATGAAATAGTTTAGTCCTTCAACATGAAACATGATGGTCAAATTATTTGCCATAAAAATATAGCTGGGCACTTGAGAAAATATTACTAGTCAAAACTGGCCACCTAAGTGTAAGCTAAATTTTCAACCAAATGTTCATAGCAAAACTACTTGTTTATTTTATATCTTTAAAAGCAATGTTGAAAAGTGAAAGGATAAGACTTAATGCCACAGAGACTGTGCAGGTGTAGTGAAATTTTTGTATAAAATTGACACTATCATTAACCAGTGTGAATTTTGACTCCTTCACCTCTACTCCAACAACAGTGATGGGTCTTCAAGAATTAGTCCCCAACTTTCCCTAGGGAGGGCTTTGAATTCGTGGGACAATTTGCTTATTGGGCCTGGAGGAGATACCAACTTAGATCATGTGGACAAGTGATCTATGGCCATAGTCTCATTTGACCATACTTCTATCAACTGAGCTCACTCAAGTGTCCCTATTTGCTAAAAGTCAGTATTTGAAATTTAGTCAATAATTACTGAGTGACCCTAAAATTCCTGGTTTTAATATGATCATCATTGTAGATTAGGAGTCACTCATTCTAAAATTATATTAGCTTATGTACTCCAAATACATTTTAATCCAGTTGTAGTCACTGCCCTCCTAAGAATACATTATAATCTACTTACCTTTAAACAAATTATTGCCTACATTGCTGAAAGATGGAAAACATCTGAGGCTATTTTAATTTCACCTCCTCAGATTTATACCACAGGGTCATATACATACTGGATGCTCAACAAATGGAAAAATAATTGACAAAAGACACAAATTTCCAAGACTGATGAACTCAACAGAGAAATGATTCATATAGTTTTAGTGTATTGCTTACATGAATCCATAGGAATCCCCTATTTCATCATGCCAGGCACTATTCTGGAAGCTGTGTCAACTATAAAGACACGTTCTAGATTCCTTTGGCGCATTCAGTATGCAAATCCTCAAAATACTTGCATTCTGTAAAAAGCACTATGAAACAAACAAGGTACCAAGATAGAAACTAACAGGGGACAACTCACTTTTGATGAGGGGATCAAGAATGACCTCTCTGAGAGAGAGAGCCATGAGCTACAGGTTATAGTTTGAGAAGCTAGCCAAGATAGAGTTATAGTAGTCCAGACATAAGGTAAAGCATTTAAAAAGCCTTTAGGAGGCCAGCCTTTTGATGCAGCAGTTTAAACCATGGCCTGCAAAGCTGAAATCTCACATGAGCACCAGTTTGAGTTCTGGATGCTCCATTTCTGATCCAGTTCCCAGCTAATGCCCCCTGGGAAGGCAATGGAAGATGGCCCAAGTTCTTGGACCCCTCCAACCCTTGTGGGAGCTGTGGCTGGTGTTCTGCGCTCTTGGCTTCAGCCTGGCCCTGGTCCAGTCCTTGCCATTGCTACAATTTGGGGAGTGAACCAGCGAATGGAAGATCAGTCTCAGAGATGGCTCTGTTTCTCTCACTCTCTCCCTCTCTTTCTCTCCATCTTTCCTTCTATCTATACCTCTGCCTTTTAAATAAATTAGTACATATTTTTAAAAGGCTTTTGGGAGTGATATTGATAAAAGTGTTCTAGGTACTAAAAGATCAGTATGGCAAGAGCTCACAAATGAGAGGAAGGCGGGTTCTTCCCAGTGAGGTTGGAGAGACAGGACATACCACAAGACTGAACTGTATGTCAGAGGAAGGAACTTACCTTTATGGATAATCAGTATCAGTGCTTTTGTGAAATTGTAGCTGTGATTGCTTCTCAGCCTTTTGGCTAAGATCAAGTGTGAAATTGTAGCTATGAGTCAATGAAACTGTTTTTTAATATTTATTTATTTATTTAAAAGGCAGAGTTACAGAGGGAGAGCAAAAGACAGAGAAAGAAATCTTCCATCTGTTGATTCACTCCCCAGATGGCCACAACCACTGGAGCTGGGCCAGTTCAAAGCCAGGAGCCACATGGGTGCCAGGTGCATGACCAGGGAGCTGGATCAGAAATGGAGCACATGGAAGTAGAACTAGCACTCATGTGGGATACTGGCAACGCAGGCGGCAGCTTAACCTGCTGTGCCACAACCCTGGCCCCCAATGAATATTTTTCAAAGAAGACACAATGATGTTGGTCTTCATGGAAAGTGAATTGCAAGAGAACAAATTATGGAAGCAGAGAGACTAATGTAAAGGTTGTAATCATGGTTCAAGGTAAATTGTGATGGCAACCTGAATTAACTTGATGGTATTCTAGATATAGAAAGGAGGGTAAAAGAGATATACTTGAGCAGTATGATTAAATAGATACCCATTTAACAGATAGTATTGATTTATTTGTATAGGGGATGGATAGGGAAAATAGGGTCATGAAAAAGAAAAGGTAATCAAAGGATACTTCAAGACTTGGGAATGACGGAGAAATTTATTCAGATATGGAGGTTAGTGGAAAGCCTCTGCAGCAGTTACAGGGAAAATCAAAAGTTGTTTCCATTATGACGTCTAGAATGATTCATTCAAGTAAATAAGTTTTAAACTATTTTTGAGGTCATGACTTCTCTTAGGCACGTATTGTATGACTCCTTCTAGCATTTTACAGTCTTTTGCATATCTAATAGGAACAGAAATCAGCTAAATACACAAAATTCTGTTTTTCCCCTGCTGCAGAAAATGTTGATGATATTAAATAAGGTGAATAGACTCCACTGATTCTGCTTCTGAATTCCTTACATTTTCATTGTTGCCAAAACTTAGTTCAGCAACAGGTAGCAAAAGCACAGAGCATTACCACAGGAGGACTCCCATAATTACCTGCAGCTCCTAGGGGATGTAAATACAGAGACACAGGGATGCTTTCGGCAGAGAGCCAGATCTAACTCATCTTTATTCTGTAAAAGCATCAGGTAGCCTGTGAGCCCAGCTCTGCACCATGGAAATCACACATACACCCAGCTTAAGTGAAGATATGCCACCTGTGTTCCATGAGTGCACAATGGTTTACTTCTAAGATAACCCCCCCCTTTAAACACCCACAACATTAAAAACAAATTTCTCTTAAGCAAAACTATTATCAGTTGCCTAAATATAGGGTCTAAATATAGGTTATAAATATAGGTCCAAGACATCAAACACTACATTTTATCTAGCATTTGGTTGTGAATGAGCTAGCCTTACAATCATGAAAACTATGTAGAATCAGATAAAATTGACTTTCAATTAAGTAGCAAATTTTAAAAATGTGATGGTAAATGTTAAGAAGGTGAATTCTATTTTAAATATTAAAACTAATGTGTAAAGAATTGAAGACTTCGATGGAATGAACAATTTAATGACTGGATTTGGTTTGCAGATTATATATAAACAAGTGTCACTGATATTAAAGGAAAAAATCATGAAAATATATTTTATATTACCCAAGAAAAAAATACCTTTCTCCAGTCACAGAGAAGAAGTAGGTAAGAACATTAACTACATTTCTGAAAAGACCTGAACTTCCCAACAATTGATTTCATACTCAGTAACTGGAATTCGATATTGAAAAAAAATTAAACCCTTTCTGATTTGATCTTTGCCTTACCTGAATGAGTTTTTTAAAATCTCCTCTAAGCTTTTCTCATGAAAATAACCCTTCACTCTAGAGGAGACATAATTTACTAGGAACGTCACAACTTTAAAAACATTTATAATAATGAATAAAGTGTTTACTATAATCAGAAAAACTGACAAAGTTTCTGGTTTGGTAATCTTGTTTTGATCTTTTGTCTTAAGGTAAGGAATGGAAATATTTGCTTTTGTTTTTTTCTGAAAGTAAATGACAATTTTCGGTTAAGTCGATAACAAAGCAAAATAACTCTGATTTCACTATAAGGTGCTTATTCTCTTGGAAAAAAAAAGAAAAGAAAAGAAAAGAAAAGAAAAGAAAAGAAAAGAAAAGAAAAGAAAGAAACGACTGAGCTGAGAAACCAGGGCTAAGCTATCTTGCCAATCTTTGGCGATTGCGGGCTCCTAAGGGGTGCGGCGCTCCTTCCATCGCCCACAGGTAGTAAGAGCCGGGCTGGTTCTGCACGCTCAGCTTTGGAGAGGGAAAATAAAGCACATGCATTTTACTTCGAAAGACCACGAACTTCCCTGGTACTGAAACCCATTTAACAAGTCTGCTACCATAGAAGGAAAGAGATATAAAGACAGTTAACCTTCAGGTATCGCTCGCTTTGCTTTCCACATTTCCAGAACCGGGCAGCAAGCCTACACTGTCAAAACCGGCACAGGAGTAGCCTTGCTTTTGAAACAGTGGCTTTCCCAGCTCCTCCAGCGAGGACCCCTCCGCCAAGCTTCTCCCCTGTTTCTGCTTTCCAGGTGGCGTAGTACAGAGTCAACCAAAATCAAGAGACGGAAAAATGGACACAGGTGGGTGTGGCGGTTAGGGCTAACACCGGCGAGAATGGAGGCTTCCCTCCCCGCCACACCAGAGGAGCAAGAGAAAAGGCACTTACTTGTGACCTTGTCCGCCAACTGTGCCCACCCAATGTACCTGCAGACTCTGGCCCAAGGGGAGGGCGCGGGCTTCGGGGACCCCTTCCTCGCTCCGGGCCTCTCGGCTGCCGCTGCCGCCTCCTCCTTCTCTGGGCTCCTGTTGCTCCGCGGGTGCCTGCCGCTACCGGCCGCCGGTCCCCAGGATTGCCCAGCGGAGCCGGCGGAATTGGGAAGACGGGCGCTGCCCGAAGGCTGGTGAGGGCCTGCACTGAGCCTGCGCCCCTCCCTCCAGGGCGCGCCCCGGGGAAGCAGCGGCGCCGCTCTTTCTCCTCCACCCCGCCCTCGGCGCCCGGGTCCCCGCCCCTCGCTCGCTCCTTCCACTCTTGCTCCCTGCAGGCGGCTCAGGGCGGGGATCAGCGAGGGGCGCGTGGCGGCGATGCTGCAGTCTCTCCACGGTGCGCTAGTAGGGGGCGGAGGCGCGGGGTCGCACGACCCCAGCTGCGGCCACCTCCCTGGGTGGGGCTGCTTGCGTGCACGCGCGGGTGTGTGTCTTGCAGGCAGGCGAGCCTCGCCTTTACCAACCCCGCCCCCATCATCCCCTTCCTCCTTTCCTGCTCAGCAGAATCTGCTGGCTTTTCCGAGAAGCCACTTAGTATGCCTTAATGGGGGTGGCGGAAGAAAAACTCCGGGACGGAGGAGGTGGGGACCGATGGCAAAGGCCTGGGGCTGGGGGAATGGGAGGGGAGCCAGCCTGGCGACGGGCTCCTGAGGATTAGAGGATGGGAATTGCTTTCCTCCCCAGGGCTTAACCCACGGAGAGCAGGGCTGTGGCGCTCAAGACCTGTCTCTAGGCTGTGATTTTTTTCCCCTTTTCTTTTTAATAATGGATGTGGTCGCAGAGCCTTCCAGGCAGGCCAAGCATGCATTTTCTTTTGCAGGTTGAGGGAGGAGGCCGAAGTTGTCAGGTGGGATGGGAGAGCTGCTTTTTCCAGACTTGGGATCCGCTCCTCTGGAGGCACCCTCAATCATGTGGGCTCAGAATTTCAGAGCTGGACCACCTTGAAAAGGAATTCTTTTTTGTCTATGTGTGCGTGTGTTGTGGCAGAAGGGGGAGGGAGGGGCGTGCATGTGTTTTCTACAGCAGCCTTGGAGAAAGAGCAATGAAAACAGGATTGAATTATCTTTCTCAAGAAGAGACAGGAAATTTCCACCAAGGGATGACAGTTCCAGGGTGGATTTCAAGATTCAGGCCTCACAAAACAGCAGATGGCTTTGCAAAATAAACACTAGTGATGGACATTTGCAGCTATATTATTTGTTTGCACATAGACAGGACGCTTAGTGGAATATTAAGCCCCAGGGTCTACTCTTCCCTGCTGGTTTCTGAGCTTCTGAGGTTTTTCCTTGGGGCTTTGGATATTAAGTTCTTGACTTGTAGGATGCAGTGTTGAAGGAAGGAAACTTTTTCAGTTTCTGAAGATCTCCATTGGAAGTGAAGTGGGTCACTTGAGGATTTTTTTTTTAATTTATTTATTTATTTTATTTTTTAAAGATTTATTTTATTTATTTGAAAGACAGAGTTAGAGAGAGAGAGAGAGAGAGAGAGAGGTCTTCCATCTGCTGGTCCACTCCCCCAGATGGCCTCAAGGGCCAGAGCTGTGCCCATCTGAAGCCAGGAGCCAGGAGCTTCTTCCAGGTCTCCCACATGGGTGCAGGGGCCCAAGGACGTGGGCCATCTTCTACTGCTATCCCAGGCCATAGCAGAGAGCTGGATTGGAAGAGGAGCAGCCAGGACTCCAATCAGCACCAATGTGGGATGCCAGCACTTCAGGCCAGGGCTTTAACCCGCTGCACCACAGCGCCAGCCCCTTGAGGATTTTTTAAATTCATTTATTTGTATTCAGTTAAGAGGCAGAGCCCTCCTCCTCACCCAGTAGGTCTTCATTTACTGGTTTACTCCCCAAATGTCCTCAATAGCAAGTCTTGGTCCAGGTCAAAGACAGAAAGCCAGGTACTCAATCTGGATCCTTCATAGGGGTGGCAGGAGCCCAAGTACATGAGCAACCATCTGCTGCCTTCCAGGGTGCAAATCAGCAGGAAGCTGCATTGGAAGGAGAACAGGGGCTCAAATCGAGGATGTGGACTTCCTAAGCCAGGGTTTAACCTGCTGCACCACATCTGCCCCTCTTGGGGATAATTCTTTGTCATATCCTGGGCAAGTCACTTTCCCTTCCCTAACTAGAGGCAGATATAGGAAGAAGAGTTCAATTATATGGGAATGGCAGCCTTTTAATTACATGGAATCAATGCCACATTCTTTTTGTTAAGGACTATTTTTTTTAAGATTTTATTTATCTTTGTATTTATTTGAGAGGTAGAGTTACAAACAGTGAGAAGGAGAGATAGAAAGGTCTTCCATCCACTGGTTCACTCCCCAAATGGCCACAACAGCTGGAGCTGAGCCATTCTGAAACCAAGAGCCAGGAGCTTCTTCTGGGTCTCCCATGCGGGTGCAGGAGCCCAAGTGCTTAGGCCATCATCTACTGCTTTCCCAGACCATATCAGAGAGCTAAATTGGAAGAGGAGCATCTGGGACTAGAAACGGTGCTGAACGATAGAACCAGTCCCTGTGCTATATTGAATTTATTGGTTGTATTGAGCAGACCTTGTTTCTGCATGAAACTAGTTGCAAAACCCACTATTTTGGAAATAAAAATGTATTTTGACATATATAAATAAAATGAGTAAAACTATTTTAAATGTGTGAACTTTAAAAAAAAAGTAACTTTATGATTACAGAAAAATTGCCTGGAAGACAGAGACTTCCCACAGCTTTGCTGACCCTATGTGTCAATATCTTCCTCCAACTTTTGTACAATTAGTGAACCTACACCATCACATCTTTAACAGGTCCATAGTTCACATTAGGGTTTCCTCTCGGTGGCCTACATTCCATGGGTTTCCACGAATATATAACACTAAATACCCACTGTCATAGTATTGGACAGGTCGTTTCACTGCCCTAAATGTCCTCTGTGCTCTGCCTAGTCCTCCCCTCTCCCGGGCCACTGAGTCATTGACCTGTCTACTGGCACATGGTTTTTCCTTTTCCAGAGTGTCCTATACATGGAATAATGCAGACTTTTCAAATTGACTTCTTTCAATTAATACTGTACATTTCAGTTTTATTCATGTCTTTTCATGGCTGGAGTATTCATTGAGCACTGAATACTATTCCATTGTCTGGATGTACCACAGTTCATTCATCTACTGAAAGAACATCTTAGCTTCTTCCAAGTTGTGACAGCTATGAATAAAGCCTTTACATATTGGTGTGCAAGTTTGTGTGTGGATATCAGATTTCAACTCCCTTGAGTGGTCATTGAGAAGCACATTTGTACATCCTGTTACAAGTACACTCAGTTTAGTAAGAAACTGCCAAACTATCTTCCAGAATGCCTGGACCATTTTGGATTCCCCTTGGCAAAGAACAAGAGCTCCTGTTGCTCCCCATTTTTGTCATCCTTTGGTGTTGTCAGTATTCTGAATTTTTTCTTTTCTTATATTAAGATAGCATAGTGTCTCACACGTATTATTCATGCTATAGATGTTTTAATTTTCATTTCCTTGCTGACGAGTGGTGTACAGCATCATTTTGTATGCTTATCTGCAACCTGTACATCTTTGGTAAAGTGGTAAGGCCATTGACTCACTTTTTAATTGGGCTGCTTGTTTTCTGGTTGAGATTTGTTTTTTAAAGATTTATTTATTTATTTACTTGAAAGAGTTACACAGAGAAAGAAGGAGAGGCAGAGAGAGAGAGAGAGAGAGGTCTTCCATCCGCTGGTTCACTCCCTCATTGGCCGCAACAGCTGGAGCTATGCCAATCCGAAGCCAGGAGCCAGGAGCTTCTCCCAGATATCCCACTCAGGTGCAGGGACCCAAGGACTTGGGCCATCTTCTACTGCTTTCCCAGGCCATAGCAGAGAGCTGGATCAGAAGTGGAGCAGCTGGGACTCAAACCAGTGCCCATATAGGATGCCAGTATTGCAGGTAGCAGCTTTACCTGCCACACCACAGCGCCAGCCCCTCTGGTTGAGTTTTAAGAGTTACTTGTATATTTTGGATAACAGTCCATTACTAAGCATACCTTTTAGAAATATTTCTTCCAGGTTATATATTGCCTTTTATTTTTCATGATCTTTTATTTCTCAGAGCAGACTGTTTTACTTATAATTCATTCAAGCTTATCAGTGGTATCTAATGACTCATAAACATGTTTAATTCTTCTAGGTTTTCTTCTGTGTTCCAGGAGTTTTAAAATGTGGAATTTTAAAAATTTAGGGCTACACCTTATTTTGAGATAATTTTGATAATCATTTTCTTGGTTTTTACTGCCCCTTTCTGATGCACAGTAACTGAGAAGTCAAATGGGCCACATCAACTATGTCTCATACAGCTATCTAACATCTCCATTCTATTAGGGAATAATCTATATAACATTTAGAACAATGAGAACTCATAGGATTATTAATCTGTATTATTTTCCCATAAGAGAGTAGATTTACCATAAGATCATAAAGACTGTAAATGATGGGGCCGGCGCTGTGGCTCAGCAGGTTAACGCCCTGGCCTGAAGTGCCAGCATCCCATATGGATGCCAGTTCAAGTCCGGGCTGCTCCACTTCCGACCCAGCTTGCTGCTACGGCCTGGGAAAGCAGTAGAAGATGGCCCAGGAGCTTGGGCACCTGCACCCACGTGGAAGACCCCAAGAGGCTCCTGGCTTCGGATCAGCGCAGCTCCAGCCATTGAGGCCAATTGGGGAATGAACCTTCGGATAGAAGACCTCTCTCTCTCTCTGCCTCTCCTCTCTCTGTGTAACTCTGACTTACAAATAAATAAATAAAAATCTTAAAAAAATGACTGTAAATGATTAGGACAAATAAAAAAAGATTGAAGTCTCCAGAATTATAAATATAGTAAACACATATTTGATTAACAAATCTGTAACGTTCAAAGCTTTTAAAGAAATGACATCAAGAACTAACAAATTTATTTTAGAATGTAGAGTGAATTAATTGTATTTGTTATTCCTCATGATGATTCAAAAATAAGGGAGAAATACTGAAGATTGAAAATGAATTTGTAGATGGTGGCACTACATGGAATTGTTACAGGAAATTAGAATTACTGTTGATGGTTAATACTATATGGCACTACTCATAATATCACTTTAGGTAGTAATATGATATTGAATTGTATATTTCAGTGTTTTTATGATATATAACAATTTTAATATTCATATTAATTTAATATTAATACCTTTAGTGGACAGAAAAGTACTGCTTACCTGTGGGTTCAAGGGGAATTTTATGTCTCTGCATATCATTAAGATGATATAAGATAGATATAGATAATCTATCTTTATTATATCTAGTATATACTTATATCTGTAGCTCTCTAGTATATTTATATTTATATATATATATATACAGGATGTAATGTATTATGTCTAAGTATTGTTTATAGGTAGATTCTACCCTAAGCATCTACTATATCTACATATTATATGATCTCTTCC